TGAATACATGTAGAGGAGGGATGGTTAGAAAAGCTCAAACGGTTCAAACATGGCCTAAATCACTTCCTAAGCATTGTATGGCAACAAAATGTCTCAAGAGATATTCAAATAAGTTCTAGAGTACGAAACCAAGATCATGAGATAAGTAGAATTGCATAACATCTCCAAGTAGCAATAAATTGGACTAACTTGGCAAAGTGCTCAATAAGTGCAAGGATGGCATGTAAGACAGAGTTAACTCAAAACCACACAAAGCTTTAAACAATGACTATCAATTTCTTAAAAACCATATTAGTATCAAATCCAAGTTTTATCATAGGTGTTTGGAAGGATGACAAAACAACACACAAAATCCTACGTTTTTGGCCATTAAACACACTCAAAATTTTAAAATTTGACAATTTGAAACAACATAACTAAATCCTTCCCCCCAAACTTAAATGAAACATTGTCCTCAATGTTTAGAGTGTAAGAAAAAGCAATGCCTTGTAAATGAAAGGAAAGAAGATAAGGGAAAGATATAACCAAAGGTTAGAGTTCAGAAAAACTCCCCTTTGAAGCGATTAGGACGCAAGTAGGCTTCCTTGCATGTTCTATCTTCTCCTCATCACCTTGGGTTGCCTCCCAAGAAGCGCTAAGTTTCACGTCTTCAGCCGGACGTCCAAACTTTCTATAGTGAATCAGGGGCTTTGGGCTCAATCGACACCTCATGCAATGCAAGAGAGTTCACCAAGCTTGTTTTCCTTTTCCATTGCTTCCTTGTTGCTTTTCTTTTCCTTTTCTGTTTATGAATAGAATCACAATGAATTGTAGGAATGATTGGAATATTCACATCTCCAAATTTGGCCAGCCCTTTCTTGTGTATGGGAATTGTAGCATTGAACATGTGGGCTGCCCCCTGCTCCTCCTTGTCTCCTCTTTTCAGCAAGCATGATTCTACTGAATAAGGAAGGCCATCAAATCTCTCTTTCCCCGGATTACCAAATACTTCAATTTGAAAACAATCTTGTACAACATTTGGCTTCAGGGCACCAAACACTTTGAAGGCAATAGTTTCTCTATTAACGGTCATGGTGAGAGTGCCTTGCTCTACGTCGATCTTGGTCTTAGCAGTAGCCATGAGCCAAAGATAAAGGGCAATTCATTGTCAGGAATTGGTGCTTCTTCCATCTCTAGGACTAAGAAATCAGCTGGCAAGATTAAACCTTCTATGTTCACCAAAACGTCTTCTAGAATGCCCTTGGGGTACCGAATAGTTCTATCTGCCAATTGAATGCTCATAGTTGTGGCTTGCAACTCACTAAGGTTAAGTTTCTCATAAACATGATATGGCATAAGATTTATAGAAGCACCAAGATCAAGCAAAGCTTTTTGAAACTTAAATTCACCAACTATGCAAGGTATAGAAAACGAACCTGGGTCTTTTAGCTTTGGAGGTAGCTTTCTTTGTAACACTACACTTACCTCTTCACTCAATGCAACTTGTTCATGCTCTTTGAATCTCCTCTTGTTAGTGCATAGATCCTTCAAAATTTTTGCATACTTTGGAATCTGAGCAATGGCATTGAGCAATGGGATGTTGATTTGCACCTTCTTGAATGTTTCCATTATCTCATCCAAGCCTTGATCTTTCTTTGACTTTGATAACCTGCTGGGAAAGGGTGCAATAGGCCTAAAAGCATTAGTTGAAATTGGAACTTGATTAGCATTAGATGATACCTTAGGGTTTGTGCTCTTTCCAGAAGGATTGAGGGACTGTTTGTCGGAAGCTGTGGGCTGCTTATGTGGTGGCTGAATGATCTCCACGTTTTCTCCATCTTCTTGCTCTTCGTTGACATCTCCAACCTTGTTATCAACTTGTTTACCACTTCTCAAGATGTGTACTGCTTTAGCATGCTCTTGATGCCTTGGATTCACCTCTGTTTGGCTTGGAAATATTCCGGATGCCCTATTGCTCATGGAGGATGCAATCTGCCCAACTTGCACTTCTAGTTTGTTCACTGCATTTTGAAGATTCTGATTGGTTTGCATCTGTTGCCCCATGAACTTCTTGAACATGTCTTGCAATTCTCCCATTTGATCACCCCTTTGCTCTTGCACTTGTTGGGGAGCTTGCTGGAATTGCCTTTGTTGTATTTGAAATCCTGGGGGAGGTCCTTGAGATTGTTGAACATTTGAGTTATTGCTCCACTTGAAATTAGGATGATTTCTCCACCCCGGATTGTACGTGTTTGAGTAAGGATCATTATTAGGATTCCTTGCTTGAAGGGCATTTGCTTGTTCTAGCATGTGCTCTGCAAAAGATTGATCTTGAACTTCTACTTTGTTTCCTAGAGGGCCAGTCACTGCCTGTTGAAGCAAAGAACACATAACATCAAGTTTTGCAGCAATCTCATTATTAGTACTTACCTCAGAGACCACAGCTTTCATAGGAGCTCCTCTTCCTTTATTGTGGCTCCATTGTTGAGAGTTAGCACTCAAGGATTCAAAGAGAGTAAAAGCCTCCTCTGCTGTTTTGTTCATCAGTCCTTCTCCACTTGTTGCATCTACCATCATCCTTTCGGAATCAAGCAAACCTTCATAGAAAGATTGCATTTGCATCTAACTCTCTATGTTATGGTGTGGGCAAGAACTTATCATCTCCTTGTACCTCTCCCAACATTCATGAAAAGCTTCTCCTTCCTTTTGTGTGAAATCAAGGATTTCCTTTCTAATCTTGTTAGTCTTTTGAGCCGGAAAGAATTTCTGCAAAAACTTATTAGAAAGCTCATCCCAAGTACGAATTGAAGCATTAGGCAAAGAGTATAACCAAGACTTAGCCTTATCTTTTAAACTGAATGGGAATAGCCTCATCTTAATCTGCTCATCATCAAGGCCATGAATTTTGATCGTAGCACATATTTCAAAGAATTGCTTAATATGCATGTAAGGATCCTCAGTGGTATTACCATAATAAGTTGGAAGAAGATGAATCATACCACTTTTAAGCTCAAACCTGTCAACTGTGAGTTGAGGATAGACGATGCACGAAGGTTGATCGGTGACTTTGGGAATGGAAAACTCACGCAGGGGTTTTCGAGGTTGGACAACAAGCGCACCACCTCCTTCAACATTATTGTTGTTGTTCGGAATCTCTGCCATCGTGCTTGAACCTTCATATTCGGAACTTTTAGAATCAGCGCTTGAAGAACTACAATTTCTCCTCAAACCAGCATGTACAGCAACGATTCTTGGTGAAAGTGGCTCAGGTGAACTTTGCTCCTGGTCAGATTCGGATATGCACACACTAAGGAACTCAATTCATTGCTTTCAATGGAGATAACAACTAAATACAAAAACTGAATACTAAAACAAAAACCAACGAAAAGAAACAAAAGAAACAAACAAAAACAAAACAATCAAAGTAATCTAACTATAGCACCAACGTTACCGGTTCCCCGGCAACGGCGCCAAAAACTT